AATTAATTTAAATTAAAACAAATTCTGTAGAGTGGTCTTCAGGCTGAAAACTCAGGGAACATTTAAATCTCACAGTTGTAAGAAAGATTTGTTTTTTTTCTTAGAAAATTTAGTTCCTGCTCTTGCAGAATTTGATTTATCTGATCAAGCCCAAAACATGATAAAGAAAAATCCTTTACCTAAGTTATATGAAGTTTATATGTGAATTTTATCTACCAAAGCATCTTCACTGCAGCTACATTGATATTATACACCAGACTCTCGTAAGGTTGCTACATAAAGTGTAATCATTACAACTACGATACAGGAAAATTCTTATAGATGTTTGCTTAGACTACCAATTATACATTACTTCATATTTTCTTAAGTGTCATGTATTGTCAGCACACTTAACTGTAGAACCAAGTATTACTGGTCTAAAAACAGAAAATAAATGTAGTAATAAAATGACTTTTAGTCGTATCCTGTATTACACATAGATCAGTGTCTTGTTAAGCTATCATCAGAGAACTTTCCCCCTACCTCATATGGGAACAAATATAGACACTGCCAGACAATACACAAAGAGTGAGAGATTGGAACACCCACCCCTAATTGGAATGTTTCCATTAAATTCCTCCTGCTAAGAGCTCAGGGAACCCCAAGGAAGAGAAGGTGGAGAGAGTATAGGAACCAAAGGGGATGGACAACATCAGATGAGCAAGATTCTTAAATCAACTAAGCAAAGTTCACATGAAATTTGCAGAACTGAGCCAGCATGCACAGGGCCAGCACAGGCCTGAACCAGGTCCTCTACATACTTATCATGGCTTTTACTTTGGTGTTTTTATGGCATTTCTGAGTATGCAAACAAGTAGGTCTCTGGTTTTTGTGCCTTCTTGGGGGCTCTTTTCCTTCTGTTGGTTGTCCTGTCCAACTCGAATGTGATAGTTTTTTTTTTCTTATTATATTTAAAAAATATGAATGAATGAATGAATGAATGAATAAATGAATGAAAACATAGCCACTAGGATAAAGGTTAACAGCTGAACTGTGATTTATACCTGCTGGGAGAGGGCAAATCAGTTTTCTCCAATGGAAATGAAACTGGGTATATCTTTTCAGGATAACCTTCATGTTCAGGAGTAGGTGATAGACATATAATGGACTCCACAGTTTTTATGTGCTCTTATTTGTTTATAGTTTGGTGGCTTTTTTAGGGAGGATAGTTTATTTTGTTTTCTTGCTGTATTTTATTTTATTTCTTTGAGGAAAAACTTAAGTAGGGTAGGTGGTGGGGGGGAGCATCTGGAAGGACTTAGAAAGGGGAAGAATATGATTAAAATATATTTAAATTTAAAAATTGCTCTAAATAGTAAAAAAACAACCACAAAGGTATCTGAACCATCCTAATTATGAGATAAAATGAACAACTAGCAAAGTGGAGGCATAAACAGTTTTAGGCTGAAAATATCTCAATTTGCAAAGTAATCGTGGCTGAGAAGTGACAGAAATTCTTGCTAAATTTAAAGACTAAACATGAAGGAAGAGACATTACATGTTATAATATATAAATATTAACAAGTAGAATATTATTATAAGTCAATAAACTAAAAAATAATGGTTACAGTAAAGTAGGCAAGCCCAAGACTGACCAAATCTCAGCATGGAAATGGAACTTGGGCACAAAATCTAACCCTTATCCAAGAAAACATTGGCAATTGTTAGCAGCTAGGAGAAAGAAAGTTTCTCTAATGTTGTTCTTAGTGATAAGTAAATCATGCACCTTCTGACAACCACACATTCAAGGATATTTGGACAGCGCAAGCCAATCTTAATGGGTTTTATAATATGTGTGTGTGTGTGTGTGTGTGTGTGTGTGTGTGTGTGTGTGTGTGTGTGTGTGTTTGGAGGGTAATGAAGGTTTGAGTGAACAAGAATTGGAACATAGAAATTAATATGATAAAACATTTTATATGAAAAAAATCAAAGAACTAGTAATAATATTTTATTATAGTATTTCTATTTAAATAAAGCTTTAGAAAGGATAATACAACAGAAAAGCTATAATTTTATTCCATGCTGCATCTGTTTAAAAGAAAAGAAATGATGTATAAAATATTTAATTTCATTTAATTTCGAAGTTGAAATATACATTTATTAATTAATGAGTTTACAAATTAGGTCCAAAACAGAAAATGTGTTTCTTGAAAAATTAATAGATTTTTAGTTTAGGCAAATAGATTACTTTAAATAATATTCAATTATCAATAATTATTTGCTGTTTTTACTTAATTTCCTGTTTTTACTTTACTTACTCAACTATTCATTGCTATAACAATGTGTGAGATAATTAAATTATGAAGATAAAGGTTTATGTTTGTTCATAGTTCTGGAAGTTTCCATATGTTTGGTGACTCTCTTTCATTTAAGTCAATGGCATTGTAGATCAGCTTGACATAGTGCATAAACAGGAAACTCCTTTGCCATGTAGCAATCAAGAAGAACACAAAGAGAAGACTGATTGGACACCAGCACACACCTCTTTGCCTGATTTTCTTTGAATAGACACCAGTTCATATAGGTTTTGTCACCTCTCAGTAGTGTTACAGACTGGTACTTGAGATTTCATTTCATAAGCCCTTAGGAATTCTTGTCTAAACCATAGACTTCTCATGTACAGACTTTCAATGGAATTAAAAGAAACAATGTGTAACACAATTCAGAGGTCATTTTATATTCCTACCTGTGGCCAAAACTTTGCATTAAAAAATCATGATTTCAGCATAAACTGTCAATTTCAGTTACTTTGAAATAAGTTTGGATCCATTTGTGAGAAAATCTTGCAACACTGGCTAATTTGAATAGTCAGATATTCAAACTTTTAAGACAATGTGTACATGCATATTCTTTGGGAGCCATATACAGGCGTCTTTCTGTATCTCCATCACATCAGCCATGATACATTGATTTTACTGCATCCATCATTGGCCAAGGAGAACTGAGATAATTTAAAGGGCAGGAAAGCTTTTCGAGTGGCATTAAAATTTTATTATATTTATCAATGCTTTATGAATAAATTCAATGAGAATTCAAGTTGAAATTAGATGTCAGGATTACTCTAGTATTTTTGTGAGTGACCAGGAAATTTAGAACAGGATAAATAAAAACCAGAGCAAAAAAAAATTACAAGGCATTTAGAAAGAAACTTGCAGATTATTTTTGTTGTTACTATATTTACTGAAAGATACTGCTGTAGTGCATGCTTTAAACCAAAATTCACAATTGTAACACTTGCCCTTTTCATTATAGTTTTAAACTAAAACATAACATTCTCTCTCGATATTTAAATTTTTTTCCAAAATAATATGAGAGGTTATAGTGTTATTATGTTTTGTTTTATTCCTTGAGAATGTTATATAATATTTGAGCATGCTGCTCTGTAGTGTGGTTGAATACCTAGTATCACTCCATTGAAGAAAACTGATTTTCCCTCTGCAATCACTATCAACTGTGAATAGCTTCTTGGCTGGTGTGAGATGTAGTGTTCACTTACTTCCCCTTCTTCCATGCTGGGGTTTTGGTCAGCCTTGAGCTTGTAAAAGTCATATGAATGATTAAACTGGACTTGATGAAACAAAATACATCACATAAAAATATAGGGTTATGCATTTTTATTTACTCCAATTGTTTTTAGACTTTTACAATTTAATATGTACTTAATATTTGCAAAATTATCTTAATTAACCCCATGTGAAATTCAGTTTTTGAATTATAACCTTCTTTGTTGCTCTATAAAATTATTGCATGTTTTTATCAAAATGTATTAAAAAACAGTGATTCATACATTCACAAAGAAGATTTTGTTTTCCAGGAAAAAAAATCATCCATGACCTGTAAAATATAACTTTTTAAACCATTTATCATTTTAATTCAAATGTAAATGGCAGATTATAATTCATTTAACTTAATTATTTCAAAACAAAGTTAAGAATTACCAGAAATGATTGAACCAAGCATCAAGATAATGAATACATTTTTAAACATTTATTTTTTGAAATAAAATTATCATTAATTTATCAGAGTGGCCAGTAGCATTATGCTGAGGTAGATTAAATGGAATTATAGAACAAAACTTCTAAGAAGCCCCCAGCTTAGCTATACTTCCATAATTGTATTATTACAGTTCAGTTATTCACAGATAAATATAAATCTTCAGGTTAGAATATGAATACCTTCCCCCTGTTAAAAAGACAAATTTCAGAGTGATGTATAGACAGAGTTCCCCTGGACATCCACATGTGCTATTTCATAAGTTCTTCCCTTAACAACACACCTGCAAATGGAATTCACGGAGCCTCTTTTCACCATTGGCTGCCTTCTTTTTTATTGGTTTGTTTTATTGTGAATGTTTATATGTGTGAATGTTGTGTTGTGTGTGAATACACATAGAGGGCAAAAGAGGAAGTTAGTAGGGTTGTTCTCTTGGCTTTATTCCTTTAAGTCAAGGTCTCTCCTTGAATCTGGAGCTGCTCTGGCTATCAGAAGCCCCATTGACCCTCCTGTCTCCACCAACACAGTGCTGAGTTTATAAGTGTGGATGCTGGGGACTTGAACTAAAGGCCTCATGCTTGAGCAGCAAGTGTTGTTATCCATCGTCCCAGCCCCAAACGTTCTATATCACCCTTAACAACTGTAAAATATGAACCATTGTCCTTCTTTTAAAATGTTAGTGCTCTCTATTTTTAGGACATAAAAATATCAGCTTCCTCAATTAATAACATTTTAAGATTTTGTAGCTTGACAACTTCTTTTTTTTCAATACATGTCTTTACCTTCTTTTATTATTTACTCTCAAGAACAATGAAATGTCCTCTTTGAATAATTTTTCTGTGTATAACTACGCTATAAATATGGTGGCAATAATAAGAACTCTTAATTAATTCCTCCACCTTTTTTTCTTTAATGTATTAAGATGTTCAATAAGAAAGTATGCGAAAGATAAATAAGGTATATTGGGCATGCTCATCCCAGCAGCATATATAATAAACGTGGAATGACCCAGAGAAGATTAGCATGGCTCTCCAGAAGAATGGCCCACAAATTCACAAAGTATTTCTTATTTTTGGAAGAAACATGAAGTTTGGTGGGGAGAGAAGTGGACAGGGTTTGGATGGAGTTGGGGGTGGTGAAAGAATATGAGCAAAGCATATGAAAAAATAAATGCAAAAGAAACATTAGACACTGACAATTCACTGTCCAACTGTGGTGGTATTGTGTTCACCAAAATATTGTGTACCTTAATAAACTTACCTGGGGTCAGAGAACAGACAAGCCA